ATTCTTAAGAACTTTTATCTCTAAATTATTATTATTAAATTATTTATTCCCTGGTGCTCACGTCTATTGACTGACTTTGAACATGGATATACCCGGGGATCACATTTTTAAAGTAATTTCGGATAGATAGATAGATAGATAGATAGATAGATAGATAGATAGATAGATAGATAGATAGATAGATAGATAGATAGATAGACAGACAGACAGACAGACAGACAGACAGACAGACAGACAGACAGACAGATAGATATTAGATAGACAAATAGACAGACAGACAGACAGACAGATAGATAGATAGATAGATAGACAGATAGACAGATAGACAGATATTAGATAGATAGATAGATAGATAGATAGATAGATAGATAGATAGATAGATAGATAGATAGATAGATAGATAGATAGATAGATAGATAGATGGAATGAACCAACTCTTGCCGTACATGCGGGGGATTTCTCCCCAAAACGAAAAGCAACATATAAATGAAGTCTAAATTCATTCTGGAGAGAAATCCCTGCAGTCTTATGGCAACATTTGGTTCATTCCAACGACTCTCTAACTCTCTTGTCCACCCCAAAATTTTCATTTTGACTGAAGAAGCTTCCTGGATGAGAAGCGAAAACATCTTCAAGGCAAAACCAAGAAAAATCCAGTTGCCTCTTGCAAAAGCCCCTTTGGGCCTTGAGGCAACCATCCACATCTAAACACCTCTCCCGTCTATTGATTGTTAAGGTCTCCATCCTCACAACCTGGCATGCTGAATTGGATTCATTTCCGATCTTGCTGTTTTTGCTCTTTCCCGAAGGAGCTAAACTCTACCATCTCTTTATGTCATAGGTCCACAAAAAGGATTCTGGCTTCTGGAGAGATTTCGGCTTCGGGATGATGTGTCAGTATCGAACAGATTTCTTGGCCATTGGTAAGATGTATAAAAGCCTCTTTTTTTCTGATTTTGGTTGAGATGGATTGCTGTCTGATTGCACCTGGCGGATTTTCTGTTGGTTAATCTAAAGCAGGGGTCCTCAACCTTGGCCACTTTCAGACTGGTGGACTTCAACTCCCAGAATTCCTCAGCCAGCTGAGGAATTCTGGGAGTTGAAGTCCACCAGTCTGAAAGTGGCCAAGGTTGAGGACCTCTGATCTAAAACACGAGTGGCTGAGTTTTCGATTCGTTATTTATCAAATGTACATTCATTCATTCTTGTCAGGATTTCCTGAATGCCACATTCTGATTTTGGACTTTTGTGAAATAGTCATCCATGTTCACTTAACTTGTTTTTTTTAAATAAATGAATGAATGAATGAATGAATGAGAAACTAGCACAAGTAACTGAAATGTTTTTCTATTGTGTACACTGGTGCCATCCTGTGGCTCAACAGAATTTTCAGCAAAAGAGCCCTTTAGATTCATGCCTCCATATAAATTGCGATGCGTTGCAGCAGAATAGGTGAAATTGGAAAGCACGGCCTTTGCTCGGTAAATGTCCGAATGTTCATCCATCTTTGCTCTTTCAAAATGAGCCAGTGCAGATATATGTCCCCCTTCTTGGGTGCAGGATTTATTAATGGCAAGTAAACGGATCATAAAACAAAATGTTAACATATTATTTCAACAAACAGGAATAATAGCCTTTCTTACACAGCTGTAAATGAGCACATAATGTATTTAAAACATTCTATAGTATCTTAAATCTGTAGAATTATATTGAATCCCGTCCCTTCACAAGAGGGTGTTCGATCTTTGAACATGTGGCATGGATGATGTTACCTAGTTTGGGTAATGACACATCCGCAAGAAAACAAGCAAGCTCAGAGAGCACCAAGGACCCCACAGTCGTCCTCCTCCTCCTCCTCCTTCTACTCCTTCTCCTTCTCCTCCTCCTCCTCCTCCTCCTCCTCCNGCTTCCTTGAATTTTCCCCAAGTATTTAGACGACACGAACGAAAGAGCTTGCTGTCCGCAAAGGACATGCGCAAAAGTGAGAAACCTTTGCTGAAACTTGTTCTTAGCTTATCAGATTAACATTGAGCAAGTTTCCATTTGTTCTAGTTTTCTTGGACTCGGTGGATTTTTGGGGGGAAATCAATTGTGTTTGGAGTCAGTTTTATTGTTGTTTGTTATTTATTAAAATCACCATATAGGGGAGATGGCCAGCATAAAAATGTAATAAATAAAAAAAGATAGGTAGGTGGGTGGGTGGGTGGGTGGGTGGATGGATGGATGGATGGATGGATGGATGGATGGATAGATAGATAGATAGATAGATAGATAGATAGATAGATAGATAGATAGATATTAGATAGCTAGACAGACAGACAGACCGACCGATATTAGATAGCTAGACAGATATTAGATAGATAGATAGATAGATAGATAGATAGATAGATAGATAGATAGACAGATAGATATTAGATAGATAGATAGATAGATAGACAGACAGACAGACAGACAGACAGACAGACAGACAGACAGACGATGATAGATAGATAGATAGATAGATAGATAGATAGATAGATAGATAGATAGATAGATAGATAGAACCAACTCTTGTTGTACATGTGGGGGATTTCTCCCCAAAATGAAAAGCAACATATAAATGAAGCCTAAATTCATTCTGGAGAGAAACCCCCTGCAGTCTGTATGACAAGAGTTGGTTCATTCCAACGACTCTCTAACTCTCTTGTCCACCCCAAAATTTTCATTTTGACTGAAGAAGCCTCCTGGATGAGAAGCAAAAACATCTTCAAGGAAAAAACCAAGAAAAATCCAGTTGCCTCTTGCAAAAGCACCTTTGGGCCTTGGGGGAACCATCCACATCTAAACACCTCTCCTGTCTATTGATTGTTACTGTCTCCATCCTCACCGTCAGGCGTGCTGAATTGGATTCATTTCCGATCTTGCTGGTTTTGCTCTTTCCCGAAGGAGCTAAACTCTACCATCTCTTTATGTCATAGGTCCACAAAAAGGATTCTGGCTTCTGGAGAGATTTCGGCTTCGGGATGATGTGTCAGTATCGAACAGATTTCTTGGCCATTGGTAAGATGTATAAAAGGCTCTTTTTTCTGATTTTGGTTGAGATGGACCCCAAATGCTTTCTGTCTCATTTTCCGTTGGTTAATTTATTTATTTATTTATTTATTTAATTGCATTTATATCCCGCCCTTCTCCTTGCGGACTCAGGGCGGCTGACAATGATTAAAATACTAACATATACATCTAATTAAAAATTGATTAAAAAGAAATATTTAGATACGTCAAATTTAAAAGTAATTAAAACCCCTTTAAAATCCCTTAGGCCAGTCCCGCGAGCTGGAA